CTGTCCATGACCTCCTTCCTGTCTCTGAATTTATACTCTACCTTCTCTTTGTCCTCTCTCCCTCAACTCCTGCCACTCTCACCTCCTTGGATTTTCCTGAAGACACCAAGCTCTTCTCACCTCAGGACCTCTGCAATTGCTGATTCATCTGCATGGAATGTTCTTTGCCCAGGTTGTCACATGGTTATTAGCTCCTTACCAAAAGAGGCCTTCATGACTCTTTAAAAGATTCTTTATTTTATTCACGATAGTGTATGTACATGCAATAGAGAAAATGGAGGGAAAGGGAGAGAAACGGACAGGGGAGGGGAGGGGAGAAGAGAGAGGTAGAAGGATAGAGGTGGAGAATGAGAGAGAGAGATATGAAGAGAGACAGAAGCATCCTTGACAAAATCCAGTCATAGCACAATACCCTTCCTCTAGCCCTTTGGCTAGTCAGGATCTTGGGCATGCCCAGCACATATCAGGTAAACTAGGTCAGGGACCTGAACCTATAGTCAGCCCTGAGGCTTCCAGCACTGCAGTCTGGTATGCTATAGACTGCATCACCTAAGCTGGATCCTTTCCTGACTTTCTGTGTAGACACTGCCCTAGTGATGTTCTCCATCATTTACCTGGATTCATTTTCTTCACAATACTTACTCATGTCTGGATGGATTTCTTTGTAGTTTTATGAGTTTCTTACTTGCCCACCAACCTGCTCTAATAGATGTACATAGATGTTTTCTTCCCTGCTATATCCTCAATGCCTACAAGAGCCCTGGCACACAATACATATTTATTAAATTAATTAATATAGGGATTTGAATGACTAGAGCATGGAGGCCAGATTAGAACCTATTGTGTTTCCAGGAAAGAGAGGTTGCATTAATGGTCTTGTCAGTGGAAATTAGGAGGTAGTGGCAGGCACAAATTGCTCATGGGGAGAACTGCAAGATTTGACATGGGGTATCATCATCAGAGAGGGAAGAGGTAGGGGTTTGGAGCCTAGATGAGGATAAGGAACCCAGGAGAAGTTTCTATGTTTGGAGGGAAAAGAAAGAGTACTAAAGGGACTAAATAGGAGTGCAGGCAAGGTGGAGGTGTGCAGCAGGTCGTTTGAATGTGAGCTTATCTAGAATTTTTCTTCCCTGAGAGGCATTGCTACAATGGAAGCAAGAATCATGGATTTAGAGAGAGATTGTGGAAGGTCACATTCTCTATTTAACTTTGGCATAACTGACAAATCATTGACTGTACCTGAACCTCGGGCTTTTCATTTATAAAATCATAATAAAATAACACAGGCAGGGAGTGTTCTGAAAATTTAACTACAGAATGTGAAAACATGGAACCAAGGCCAATACAAGATAGTTTCTTAATGACTATGAATTCTGTATCTCCTTTTTCTCCTTCTTTGGGAGGTAGAGGATAAGAAAACTTACCCTAGCTCTTTAGTTTACATTTGAGTATTTTTTTAAATTCTAAAACAATAGTTTTAAAAGACAATACTAATAAGTTTATAATGAAGGCAAGTAGCTCCTTATCCTAACTCCTCTGTCTAATCTCTCAGTTTTCTCTCTCCTCAGGCTATTTATTTCAGTTCTCTTTGTTTTTCTTAAAGAATTTGCATCTATAGTTCAATATAAGAAAGTTTATACTGCTAATTTAAAAATTTTTCTCTTAGATGTTATTTAGACATCAAATTTAGATATTACCATCTTCACACCAGGAAAGATGAAGATTTAGTTGTTTTATACTTCCAATTCCAATTTTATATACACCTGCCTATGCTTTTGCTCCTCACAGTGTATTATATCCCTATTTTAAAATTTATCAATATTAAGAGTTTTTTTTAACTATAGCTATTCATATATGAATAGTGTACTGCAATTATATTTCCTTTCTTTTACAAAGTCTTATTTTTTTCGGTAGTTAACATTTGCCTTATTATATTTAGTTTTGATTTTTGTACCAATCACTCTTTCATCTCTAAATTCTCTCAAAATATGAAATATTCCTCTCAGTAATTACAGAGTCAATATGTATGAACAGACTTTACAATGTTTGTGGGAAAGTGAAGTTAAAGTACAAATTTATTTTGCTATAAAAAAATTCTGAAATCCATACCTTTTCTTTTCTTATGTGCATTTTCCATGAACTTTTTGAAGATTGCCTTTAATTGAGCTGTTTCTTTCTTTCCTTTCCTTGAAACTATCTTTCCTGGCTACCTGCTCCAATTTGGACTGTTTGCTTTCTTTTTTTTTTTTTTTTGGAGAGATTTTCACTGTAGGGACAGACAGAGAGAGACATAGAGACAGAAAGCGAGAAATCACCCCCCAGGGGGGATGGTCATGCCACAATCCCTTCTCCTCCATTCTCCTCTCGGGATCTTGGGCACGCACGCACACGCACCCAGCGTGAGTTTTAAGCCACCGGGTCCGGGACAGGAACCGTGGTCGACTACGTGGGAGTCCAGCAACATAGCCATTACGCTAACTGCTGGTTCCCAGGACTGTTTGCTTTCTAAGCTTGCTGCATAGCGATGTGTTATCTGGGAATCCCTTAATCTTGTTTTGAATTTGTGTTCCTAGGTCTTATTTTTTAAGTTATTTATCTTATTTCTTTATCTTGTAGCTTTATGAGAAAAAAATGCATAGGAGGTAAACGGAGGCTTTGTAGAGCTTTATTCTGCTTCTCCTTAACTGACATTTTGGCTGAATATATTACAATAGAATTCTACTTCAAAGTAATCGTTGCTCAACATTTTGAAGAGAGTGCTTCATAATCTTTTATTTTTGAGCATTGCTGTTGACAAATCTGAAGCCATATGATGCCTTTACTTTCCATGGGATCTCTGTTTCTTATTTGGAAATTTTTATGTCTTTGCATCTTTTCTTGGTATTTTGATATTTTCTAGTGATATATCTACATGGGTCTCTTCTTTTTCATGAGCTATGCTGTAAGGTGGATGGATGTTTTTGATCTGAGCACTCATCCTTCAATTTTTGGAAATGTTTTTGAATTATTTCCTTGGAATTTTGTTTGTTTCTTTTTTTTTTTTTTTAAATATTCTCCCATTCTTCAACTCCTGTTATTCAGATATTGGATCTTCGGAGCTATTATTTTTGTTTTCTTTCCTTCTTTCTTCCTTTCTTTATTTCCTTCCTTCTTTCTTTTTTTCCCATTCATTTTCCATCTCTGTCCTTCTTTTTTGAATTTTCTTTTGCTTCATGCACTTGCCTGTTTTCCCTGTGTAATTGTTTTGTTTATTTGTTTTGGCATTTGTCTTTTCTAAGACAGAGGTCTAACTGAAACAACTAGTGATTCTAAGTTGTCTGTACACTATAGCAGTTAAGTATCAAGAAACAAAACTGAAAATCTCTGTGTATGAGTCGTTTTTGTCATCTGGAAGCCCTTACTGAAATACAAGGACAAGTGTTTTTTTTTTTTTTTTTTTTTTTTTTTTTTAAGATTTTTCAAGTATGTCCTTACCCTTGATCTAGTTGCGTTGCTGGAAGGAATTATCTGTTCTCTTGCTCATAGGATACCAGCTTGACTTGTACCTGGGAGCTAGTCATGTTATTAGTTAATCTAAAGACTTCTATTCTAGCCCCTTGTTTTTGATGTGTAGCATCTTTCTTACCCTGGGTCGAACCTGATTCCTCTGTTTTTTTTCTTGTTCTACATCTATATAGAGTAAATATCTTGTTTCTCTTCCTCCCTCTTCTTCCTCTTCTACTCCTTCTTTCCTCTTCTTCTTCCTCCTCTTCTTTTTTCTCTTCTTCACAATCATTTGAAAGGATAAAAGTAAAAACACTATTAGCAAGTCATAGGTTGACAACCCTTGGTCTAGAGGATTCTTTTAGACACTCAGCCAGTTGTCTTCATTTTATTTCTACTGTGTAGAAATGCCTGCCTTTGAAGTAACTTGAAGCCTACAATTTCTGAGCCTTTTTGGGCTATATGTAAAACTAGGTGGTTTCTTATAGTTGCCTCAACTCAAGTTCCCCTGGCTCCATAGAAACTTAGATTTCAGCTTTCATGAGTCTGTTATGAGAATCTCATGGACAGAAAGAGCCAGACCTCCTTGAGACAATTACTTGTCCATCTTCTTTCCATTTTGCAAAAGGTCAAGTTTTTTTTGGCCTGCTGGTTTTCTCTGCCCTTATTGGGTCATGCCTTTTTTCCTTCCATTTTCATCAGTTCACTGGGATTTGGGGAGAGAGTGAAGATAAATGCATGCATTTAATCTATTATGTTTACCCAGAAGCTCCTCCCAAATCCAGTTTGTTTGATTTTTATTTTTACTACTCTCTTTGATAGTTCTTCGGTTAATTTTGCATTTGTTCTCCGCGTGCTCACTTACTATGCCAGATGTTTAAAGATGTCCTTGGGGAAGAAAAATGAGGGGTTTTAAAGTGTAATGTTCTTGAAGTGCTCACAGTGTTTCCGTGTGTGAAATCTCAAGGAGGTCTGGCTCTTTCTATCCACCAGATTTTCATACTAGAAATACAGTTTCACCCTTATTTGTGTAAACCATCAGGAGCATTTTTAAATGTTTGTAATAAAGTTTGTGGCTTATTGTTTAAAATTGAATTTAAGGTAGTAAATCAAAGCTTTTGGTGGCATGCTCCTGACAACATAGAGAGTCTGGTAAGTGATCCCTAAGAGCTGATCAAAGGGAATTGTTGAACATTTTTTTTTCTGTTTTTGTGTTTTGGTTCTTTAATCTGGTAGTGTTTCCAATTCCATTCTGAATACAGTAATGCACTCTCCGTCCCCCATTCAAATTTTGTTGGCGGCATCTGGCACTGTTCTTGCCAAATGGCCCCCCATTCAGGCATAAGCCTGCCTTTGCGATTAAGTCTAAACGAGGTATGAACAATGGTGATTGTCAGAAAATGGGCATCTTTTAAGATCTTATTCATACCACATTTTTGTTTCAGCACTAAAATGGAAACTGAAAATTTTAAAAAATGAAATTCATTGAAAAATGACTCCTAGTCCTTTCTGCCTAGGTTCACCTTTTCTTGCCAGTGAAGATGGTGTGCTTGGTGGGGTGATTGTTCTCCGGTCATGCAGGTGTTCTGCAGAGCCTGACTCCTCCCAAGATAAGCAGACACTTTTAGGTAAGTTGGATATATACAATGTATGTGCCTTTCTATTTTATTTTTTCAAGACAAAAGATTATTATCCATAAATAATAATTTTAAGCTATGGGGTGGCCAAGATGTTCTGTTGATATCAGCACAACTCTTTTCTTCTTGTCTTTTTCTATTGGAAAACATGTAAAAGGTTTTGTTTTTGTTTTTTGGGGTTTTTTTTGTTTGTTTGTTTGTTTGTTTGTTTTTTGTAATTGCATGCTTAGTGCACTTATTTTTCAAATAGAATTTGGAGATTTTACTGACATCCAATATCAAGAACATTGAACCATGTACTCATTCATTGCCTTATTTCCCAAAGCATTGGAAGTAACTCATAACAGTATACACAACAGCACAGAAAGAAGCTTCTTCCTATTTATCTTCCCAAAAGGAATTGGAACCATGTGAGGAGCTACTGGCCTAGAACTCAGTCCTGGCTCCATGACTTATTAGCTGTGATGCCTTTGTGCATTGGTCTTACCTTAACATGCTACTTCTTCATATGTAAAATAAGGACATCTGCCCTACCCTCCTTGTAAAGCTGTGGAAAGAGAGGGTCAAATGAGTGTTTCTGCAGATTTGCAGATGTCCATCCAGATGTGTGGTTTTCTGTCTCACCAAGCATACCAATGGGGATGAAACCCAGCCTGTCCTCCACTGGCTGAGGCAGAATTGTGGGGCTGCCTTTGCCCAGAGGGTGACTTCTTCTTTCTAAAGCTCTCGCAATAGAACTATTTCAGCTTGGTTGCCTTTCTAGTTCATCTCTCCAGAGGGGATATTAAAAATCCATGTAAAGGTGATAAACAAGCTAGCAGGTATCCTATGTGTTATTTTTTTAAATTAACTTTTTTCATTTTTAAAAAATTATTTTATATTTTTTAATTTTATTTAAATTTAATCATTGTATCTTTTCACAGCATATGATGTGGGTTTTCAGTGTATAAATGCATTGTATGTCAAGCAAGTCAAAGATATTACCATGCCCAATAACTAATTAACCTTCTGATTTCGTACATTTTAAAAATGCACAAATCATAATTGCAGCTGCTTGGTGAATTATAATGAAGTGAACCCACTCCATGTAACCAGAACCTGGATAAAAAAGTAGAACTTTACCACCACCCCCAGACCCCCCTTGGGACACCTCCCAGTCTCTACTGAACATGGTTAATAGAGGTGTCTCCCTTGAGACACCTCCCAGTCTTCAACACCATGGTTAGTTTTGTCTGATTTTATATATTATATAAAATAAATTGCAGAATATATACTATTTGTGTTTGGTCTCTAGTCAATATTAAACTTGTGAGATTCATCTATGTTACATGTGACAGGAGTTTGTTCATTTTCATTGCTATTTAATATTATATTGACTGGGTATATCACAGTGTATTAATGCATTCTTGTAATTTTTTCAATACAAGCATTATAGGCCATGCACAGGTGCTGTGGTTGTTCAATCCTTCATATAAATTTTCTTACAAAAAGTGTGGGTGGTACCTGATCTATCGTACATTGCATTATTGTCAATTGCTGTGGTACAAGAAGACTGGTACAAAAAATCTGAGTGCACTTGTATATAAAAGCTCTTTATTCTACCTGGTTTCTGACCACCAACTTCCTCATTTTTCTTGCCATAATCTCTTTCTTTCTACCCACTGTACCTAGTACCCAAGTTGCTTCAAGGAGGTGTTTTTGTTAAACAGCCAAATTTGGTTAAACCAAGACAAATAGTAATTTGCTTTTTCAGTTTCTTAATCAATATCCTCCCTTCTGTATTCTTCCACAGTTGGATAGCTAGGAGTAGTTCGTTTTCAACAAGTGCAGAGGCTATACTTGGGCCTTCCATTAAAAATTCAAAAGAGAAATCCTTACAGTATTTGGTGGTGGTAGTGATTTTTTTTTCTTTTTTTTTTTTTCTTTTCATTTTGCTTTTAGGCATGTATACTAGGCAGACAGAGAAAGAGAGAAAAAGGGAAAGTGGGAAAGTATCCCCCATGGGTATGGCCACACTGATATACCTTCTCGTTCATTATCTTCTTGGGATTTTGGGCATACACGTGTACTTGGCAGGTTTTTTCAAGTGAGCAGGTCCAAGACTCGAATTGCTCAGACAGCCCTGTGAGATCCAGCCACCTTAACTTTCACACCACTGGCTAGCCTGTGGCTGGGGTTATTAGA